TATACTTCCAAACCTTGTCAAAAAAATTTTTTTAAATCATTTTCTATGGTTTGGAGTTATCTCTAAAAGTGACCATCCTATTAAGGTGTACTACTAGGACACCATCCCCAAATAAACTTACTTCATTATCACTAGATTTTGCATGGATCTTGATTTTGCAAATGCAGACTAAACTGACCCCAAAACTAATAAACTCATATACTTCAAGATCAACACAAATACTAATAGTAGACAGTAAGTTCAGTTCCTCTGGCTTCTAAAATTTGTAATACCTAAACATAAATTGCCCACAAAGTACAAGGTAACCTTCACTACAAAACAGCTAACCCAAGCAGTGAAATAAAAGTACACGTTTCTAATGCATATAATGCATTAGATCTTAACCTTGTAAGCCTACCTCAGCATCAAGGGGCAATGTTCTACAAATGTAATGGATTCCACTTTAGGAACCATAAAGTGCAATGAATCAACTGTCATCCTAGTGTGTAGAGTATGACTACAAGATTCTGAACTTTGGGGCTGGAAAGGTGGCTCAGTGGTAGAGCAATTGCCTTGCATGCATGAGGCCCTGTGTTCGATTCCTCAGCACCACATAAGCAGAAAGAAAAAAGCCGGAAATGGCGCTGTGGCTCAAGTGGTAGATCGCTAGCCTTGAGCTGAAGAGCTGAGGGACAGTGCCCAGGCCCAGAGTTCAGGCCCCACGACCCCCAAAAAAAAAAAAAAAAAAAAAAAAAAAAGATTCTGAACTTTAAGCACACATTGAAATTTAAAGGAATAAATAGGAATAAGTGTAGAGTTCCAGGGAAATTAATTCAATCAGCAGTACTGAATAAATTTTGAAATCTGAGGACAGCATACACAAAAGGCTCATTACCTCATAACAGGTGGAACTGTTCATTCTAAATTTGCCAGATTGGAAACTAAAATTAAAAGTACATTAATAGTCCATTAGTTCTTTCTGACATAGGTTCTTTTACTTTATAGACCAATTCTTAGAAACATACTGAGATGTTAATTTACCTGCCTCTTGGTTCACCCAAGCTTTCACAAAATATCAAACACCCCACACAAAACACTCTTAGACCTTTACCCTTCTGAAATCCTAGCAGCATTAGTTTTTTTAGCTGGGAAATAGGAAAATACTGGGGGAAAAAGTAAGGAAAATAGGACAAAGCAACAAAATCTTAGAAGCATCAAATCTGAGCTAATGTTGACTTAAAAAAATAAAACCTGAACATTGTGTCAGCATCAAGATCATCGGAAACACCAATTCCAGCAGACCAAGTACCAGTACAAACATAGGTAAAGGTCAAGAAATTTAGCCTACTTGATCATCTAAATTCAACCTCCAAGCATTTATAATTTATCAGAAATCCTCTAGTTTCCCACCGACTTCCCTACCTTGCAAGAACTGAAGATGTTCCCAGAAGCAGGTACCTATTTGACTGAACAGGTACCTAGTGATCAAAGTAATATCCCCTGGTCTTTTTCCCTAAGAGATCAGAAACACTGGAAGCCCTTTTCAGGGAGCGGTGAAATATTTCTGTTGAGCCTGGTATTATCAAAGTGTTCTTCAATGTAAGAGCCAGATCATCCAGCAGCTAATCTCAGTAACGGCTTAAACAAAATCACTATTAGAAATGAGATGACATTTAATCATCTTTAAAAAGGTTTAGAAATTAAGTTGTACAAACTGTTCACAAGTGGCTGAAAGTGAAGCTGTGGCTCAAGTGGTAGAGCGCTAGTCTTGAGCAAAGACTCAGGAGTGCCCAGAGCTTGAGTTCAAGTCCCAGGACCAGCACCAAAAAGTGACTGAAATGAGAAAAAAAAGATGCCTTAGTCTCATGCCCTTTCAGTAGGACAGAGGACAGGTACCAGGAACTCAAAAGTTTATACAACATAAAACGCACTGATTCTCAGCACAATGGCTGCAATAAACCCAAGAATTGGGTAGTGTTGAGTAAAAAAATTTCATATGAGGATCCAAATTCACAATACCACATTTCCTCAGACCTTTCCCTATCAAACAAAACTAGTAATCTAGTTAAGGTACAGAAGAGAGGAAGAAAGGCCTCAAATATTATTTGAAGTCATTTTATCTAAAGGACAGAACATTTAACAGGAAAAGGGAACTCCAGAACTATAGCAAAGCAGCTACTTAAGATCTGAAACACACCAGGTGCAAACTGGAATATGGAAGCCATGAAGAAAAATACAAGGCTGCTAATTTGTTTGTATAAATGGCAAAGGCAGCTCCCAGACTTAATAACATTTATCCTGATCAAGAGTTCAATACCTAAAGTAGATCTGAAAACGGGAGTTGAAAACAAAGCAAAGCCCTGGTGGCTCATACCTGTAATCCTAGCTACTCAGGAGGCTTAAATCTAGGATCATTCCAGTAGTATTGACTCTTACCTCCAATTAATCACCCAAAAATTACAAGAAACTTGTGGCTCAAGTGGTAGAACATCATCCTTGAGCAAAAAGCTAAGTGCCAAGG